CTATCATGTATCATTAAACAAAACATAAGGCAAAATTTAATTTAAAGAATATGATTAAACGAATGATATTGTGAAATTTAATTTATAGAATTTCATTGAAAGAAAAATATAGCAAAACGAAATAACTGAAATCTATTTATTTAAAAGTTAAAATGGTTTTGATGAAAAATTTATTTCATGCATATGGACATTAAAATGTATTATATTATATTCCGTATCCGGGCCATTACCTGCTATTACGTTTTAATTGTAAATAACATGAATGGAATTTTTTTTTCAAATGCAAGCCCTGATATATTGTTTTAACACTGAGGAATAAAGGTTTTGCAAGTTACTTGTAAGCACAAAGAGCCCCATTGGTTTTTGTAGTGATTGTCAAATGAGCAACATGACTTATGCTAGCCAACGCTTCACCTCGAAATCCATAAGTAGATATTTTAGTCAAATCTTCAAATTGCTGATTTAACTAGTAGTGAATCGTTCACATACAATACCCAAAATCCTCGATTGCGAATACCAGTGCCATTGTCTGTATCTAAACAACAAATAAGTTATTAAATAAATAAATTATAACTAATATTTTTACCTGAAGTAATTTTTAAACCTCCATTTTCAATGTACTTGAATATTGTAGATTTAGCGTCTAAGCTGAAAACAGTAGTACAAATTATGAACTGATACAGTCTATTTCAAACTTTGGTGAATAAAAAAAGAAAAAAATCCATCACTTTAGCAATAGTTATAACAAAAATGTACATTATTCATAAATAAGATAGCAGATACCAACTAGGCACTAATTGTTCATACAATACTACAATGAGTATAATTAAAACAAATAAAATTCAAGAAAATATTTTATCTAAAATAAATAGTACAAAACTAAAGTTACCTGTTTTCTAAAAGTTCCTTTAAAGCATTGGCTGACCTTTGGATTACTTCACCGGCTGCAATTCTATTTACTACGTCCTCTGCTAATTTTCTGACAATTGGTACCTGTTGATCCATCGTCTGTGGTACTTTAACTGATTAAATATTTTTAATGTTGTAAACATCTAATACTGAATATACTAAAAGACTAATACCTAATAAATATAGGTAGGTACTTACATTTGACCGTCAATGATGTTATTTATGGTTATTAAGGATTAACAATATTGTTACTTTTTTCATTTAACATTACGGATTTTCATGTGACTTTTAATAATATATTTCTTGGACAAAAATCTGTACTTAAAAAAGTTATGCACCTGGAAAATTCAAAATACCGAAAACTTATTTTATACTTGAGTAGCCAACAGACGATAGCAGGTACGATACAATTTTATTATACAAAACACAGAATAGATAGATGTACAAACTAACAAGCAGATGTAAATTATTTGGAGGTAACTGGTATAGCGGCGGTGCCGTAATCACAACTCTTATCACAATGCGATATGAATGATGGATACATAGATAATACCAGAAATATGGTTTAGGGCCGTTCTTACAATGTCCGGTAAAGTGTCGGTTAACGCTAACCGACTGATAACAGATTTTATTACCGGCAGAATTCTTCCGGTTAAGTGTCGGTTAACTTTAACCGGACGTCGTAAGAACGGCCCTTAATCATAGACCTTATACTTATAGACGGAACATGTAGTAGTTACTCATGTTGACGATATGCTGCGTCCCACGAAGCACCGAAGCACCAAGTATAAGGTCTATGGGTTTAATGGTTTCTCTGGGGCTCTTCTGGCACGCCACCCCATATGCGATTCACTATTTAGCATTGAGTATAGATAGTATAATATACTATTATAGTATTATACTACTATTATACTCAATGCTATTAGGCATTAGGCATGTCCTATCCATAATCCATTATGTATTATCTATGGATGGATATCACTGATGAGCGTAGACGAATAGCACAGATTTCTATATATTACTAGATAGCGAACTCCGGTCATGAATTGAAGCTTCAAGGTCGGTTGGCAATTGTATGGTATTTCATATGACAAATAAGATGATATTATGATTTATTTTATATCGTATTTTATTATTTTTAAACATTAAGTTAACAAAAAAAAAAAAATATTTTATATAAGTCATTTTACATTTACTATTTTATTTGACCGTTAAAAAAAATATTATTCCTAATACATTTTGTATAATAAATGAAATGTTTTGCCAACCGAGAAAATGGCGGCCGTTCACAGCTGAGCTTCACTTGTAACAATGTACATTGTATAAGAGTTCCTTATCTAGTGTAGTATAGAAATCTGTGACGAATAGACGATAGACCTTAGATCATATACAACATGATAAAGAATAATTTATCATGATATACAATGGATACTGGATAGAGAATAGAGATATGTCATAGACATATTAATACATTTATTAATATGTCTATCCCTTTATCCTACATATCGCATGTAGTCTACCACACAATTTTGGTAGTGGTGGGGGGGGGTCAAACTCCATGACACCCCCCCCCCCCCCCGGCTCCTTAAGCACGATCGCGTTCTCATTGCAGAATATCTAAAATAATATCTCCGTCAGAATGATAAAAAAATATTTCTAAAAAAATTAACTTGAATATTTTAGGGGAAACTATGAGCAAATATTTCTAAAAAAAATTACTTAAAATATTTCCATTGAAGCTATTAGAAAATATTTTTTAAATAAATTAGTTAGAATATTTACATTGAAGCTATTAGAAAATATTTTTAAAATAAATTATTCAGAATATTTTCGTGTTTATGACGAGAGAATATTTTGAAAATATAATCATCACCTAAATGCTGTGTGCCTGTGTGATGTTCGGGAACCCACGGCTCGTTACTTTATATATAACGCACCATAGCCGCCGGCAACCAGTCTTCGTTTTCCGAATTTCCGATGACACTGTACACAGTGTAACACGGGAAATTGACTTAATATTGTTGTTTTCCTTGTACATATTTGATATTTCTTTCTAAAATTTACATGTTTATTTTTATTTAATTTGCGAGTGTTATCTACTTTTTACCGACAATCTAAATCTATAAAATCTCTTATAAAATATAAAGGTAAGATTATTATTTATTATCTAGGGCAACTCGCAACTCATAGGCTTTTTGTTATATTTTAATTTTTAATCGAGTTATGAGTATTTCAAGATGCACATACAATTTACAATTTTTAAATACTCATAACTTATACTTTAAAATAAAAATATAATAAAAAGTCGATGAGATTGCCTTTAAATTGTATAAGAGGTCAGATCACTTAAATTTTTAAACTAACGAAGCCAAATGAGATCTCCTGAGCCTAAAATGTACTGTGCTGTTAGTGTGTAAGAGGAAGACGGAAACAACATAATATGCGGGTGGTACTATAGTCTATACAAAGGTGTATATGAATCGCGGACAAATATTTGATACTATAGTCATACTACCACAGATTATATAAAATTATAATGTAATAGCATAGAGTCATAGACTTATTTTCTATGTATAATATAAAAATAATAATTATAATATACTCTTCGATACTGTCTACAACAGCTATATAATTAATGTATTTTTAAATCCACCTTGACAGTATGACAACATCGAGATTATGATAACGATTAACGATTAACGCTGCGTAACCGTTATCAGTACGATAAACAATTTAAAAAAAAACACATGTTATTTGAACAAATGAACATTGCAAATGTTTTAAAAAATAAATAATGGTTCAGCTTTTAGTTTAAACGCTCAACAGTCGTATTTCGTCATTAAATTCACATTTCACAGTTTAAAAAGTTTAATATTGTGTTTGATCGATAATCGGACTTGTTGACTCTTGACATTTAGATCAATTCGCTATCCTAATCCACTTGCCGATCACAACCACGGATCGGAAAACACGGTTGAAGACATTTTACAATTAATTCTCGTTTTGGAAATTTGGAATATAGGTAGTTAAACGTTTACGGAATAAAAAATATAAACAATATAGATAAATAGAGTAAATATGTATAAATTATTTTAATTGTTTTATCAGTGTTAAAATATATTCATGACTTATCAATAAGATTAAAATGAAAAAAAAATCATTTTTCTATAATATGTCTAATGTTAATCCCAGAAAAAAGATCTGACGTTAAAAAGACCGGTAAAAAATTCCAGCTTAAAGAAGTTCAATGGAATAAAAGTTCATGGATACAAAATTGTTTTTAGTTGATAAACGATAATAAAAGTCACATCAATTTGTATTATTTTTTAAAGATATTTTTATATGATTATATTTATTTGTTTACCTATATTTATAGGTATTTTTAAAAAAGGTAATGTAGGTACAAGTTAAATGTTAATTTCTACATGACGAGTTAATTTAAAAATAATAATTCTTGTGTACCTACCTTTTATGCTTTATAAAATATATAAATATTGTATTTTTACCAGACATTTATTATATCAGTTTTTTTTGCTGAACTTTTATATAAGATACCTTTTAATTTTCACCAAACATTTTGAATTTTTATGCATTTTTTTTGTTTACATTTTTACGTGATTTCTTCATATTTAAGTCAGTTTTTGTAGTTTTTGCACAATGTGGGGGCATTTTTCTTAAATTTTAGATTTTGAAAAAAATTTGTAAATATTCAAAAAAATAATGTTATTATTATTATCGCTTACCGATTAGATTTATCGTTTGCATGTTATACATTTATAAAACAATTGCTTTTTCACATATGCCAAGCATTTTAATAATTTCATATAATTCTTAACATTTAAATATATACTTTTGTATATTAATATTACATTTCATATTTTAAACTACTCTGATGCCCGTTATCACACCCATATCACTAATAAAAATTATTATTTTTAAATAAGATTTTTTCACTTATTGAAGTAGATTTGTTTGGTAATTTTTTGGAGTTTTTAGGGTAAAGCATTTTTTTAAGGGCATTTTTGTGTGATTTTTAGGTCATTGACATCCTTACTCTACCTACTTATGATCAAGATATTAAGCTAAACATAATGAATCACTTACAACAAGGTTGGTTCACTGAGTCCGTTACATGGCCAGGTGCTGGACTTTCATTACAAGTAGAAGAAGTCCTTCATAAAGAAAAATCCCCGTATCAAGATATCATGTTATTGCAAACGTAAGTATCTGTATGATTATATGGTAGATTATATACAATACAAAGCTATTGATCATTATATCTACTTTATTTTTGTTATTAGCAAATCATTTGGAAAAGCTTTAATTTTGGATAATATAATTCAATGTACAGAGTTTGATGAGTTTTCATACCAAGAGATGATAAGTTTCTTGCCACTTTGTAGCCATCCTAATCCAGAAAGAGTTTTGGTGGTGGGTGGTGGCGATGGTGGTGTTGCACGTGAAACCGTTAAACATCCAAAAGTTCTTAGCGTTGATGTTGTTGAAATTGATGAAAGAGTAGTGAAACTTTCAGAACAATATTTACCATTTATGGCTTGTGGATTTAAACACGACAAAGTTACACTGCATATTGAAGACGGGTTTGAATTTATGAAAAACAATGCCCAACGATTTGACATCATCATTACAGACTCTTCAGACCCCGTTGGTAAGTATTTTTTCTTTTTATTGGATAACAATTTTATTTTAATAAGTTATATAATGTTGCAATTCAAATGATTTTTTTTTAGGTCCAAATGAGTCGTTATTTCAGAAAACTTATATTGAATCATTGAAAAGATCATTAAAACCTGGTGGTATCATATGTTCCCAAGTTGGATCAATTTGGATAAAAGAAGATCAGGATACAATGATCAGATTGTCCAAAGATTGTTCAGCAAACTTTAAAAAGGTCACTCTAGCCACTATATCTATCCCATCTTATCCAACTGGAAACATCAGTTTCATTTTGGCTACAGACAATGAGGTTAGAAAAGATTGTCTGTACAATTTTATAAATTATTATTTATTAATTTAATCATTATTTATTTTCTATGCTATTTCAGCTAGTAAATTTCAAAATACCAGCATATAGTTTCACGCCAGAAGAAATGAATAAACACAAACTCAAGCATTACTCGCCAGATGTACATTCTGCTTCATTTAGTATTCCTAGGTTTGCTCGTATGATTATTCCACATATTAATTGCTAATATTGTTTTATTCATTCAATATTATCACATTTATGGATTTTGTCTAATGTCACTTTAATTTTATGCTTGTAATTAAATTACCAATTTAAAATTATTTAATATTTATTATACATCAAATAGTATTCAATTGTAGCCTTTAGGTTTTTTTTTTTAATTGCACTGTTGTTCTATTTTGTATCCTAACCACATGTGATCAATCTAAACTATGTATTATTAAATTAATTGATTCTCATATTATGTTAGTATTAATAATATTGAATTACAAAATAGATAATAATAATAAAAAAAAATGTATACTTTATTTTATTTTTTGTATATCAGGTGTATATTAATATAATAGGTAATTGTCAATTGTTCAAAATATGTTCAACTATTTTGTTTGTTTATTCATTTATATCACATATACATGTTCGTTATCACCCTGCAACCAAGTCTAATAAAATGTATTGCCCGGCCACCAGGCGATAATAAGTTGACAATCTTTAATCTAAAAATTTAAATATTCACAAATCATGATCAATGTGTAGACGACCAGTACATGATCTATTTATTGAAAAAGAATAAATACTCCTTATAATATTTAAAACTATATTTTTATGAATCATATTAGTATGTATTGGCACTCAGCATGATGCTTAAATATTTTATTTTTGTAGTTTCAAGGGTGTTCCTATCTTTCAAACATTATTATTTATTAACATATTTTAAAATATCGTTAAAATTAATTTTAATAAATTAGGTATGTATTCACCATAAAATTAATATTGGCGTTCAATTATTACAAAAAAAAAATACCTTCAAAAAGACAAATAAAATGTGTGACAAGGTTCAAGAAATGCTGACAGAAGAATCTAAAGAAAATAGTCTTATTTTTAGGAGTTTATTTAAGTGTTAATATATTATTATGATATTAAATTAATTATTAACTGTGCTTCTATTAATTTAATAATTACTTTTATTTAAAAGTTTTGTTAGGGTAGATACATACAAAATCACCCTCATAATGTTAGAACAATACAACCATAACGGACACATACATAAATCTAACAAATTTGTTGGTCATCGTTGATCTTTATTTATGTCGTAACTCGTAAGATCTTTTTATGCTGCCAACTTTATACCAACAGCTCAATTTAAGGTAAGCATAATTTTTCCCAAAAAAAAATTTTTGAGTTCGTTTTGTTAAACACTGTTGGACCATTCCGTGATTTTGTTAGACTTATATTAATTTATTTACCATCTAAAATAAAATCCAACAAAATCTCGGATATATTCAAGGAACTTGAACTTTGAAGTTTAATCTGGTGTGGAATATAGGGTTCAACTCCGTTGTTAATTGACTAACAGATTTTTTTTTAAGCATATTTTGTTTGTTGTCAATGACGACCAAAGGTGTATGCAATCAATGATATCTTTTTAAACATTCAACGCTATAGGCAACAAACTTTCTCGACACAAATCCTTCTAAGCCAATACTTTATTATTCACAAAAGTCTTAAGTATGGAAATCGTTTACATTGGTCACCGAAATCCTAGTAATCGTGCGCTTTTAATATCCAACAAGGAATGGAATAGACTGGGAAAAATTCTAACAAAAAAAATGGATGATGAGGAAGCGGTGGAAGCCAGCAAGCGATTGAAAGAGATGCGCCGAGAAACATCAAAAAAGATGGTGGACGGTTGGGACAACACAGAACTGGTTAGTGGGTTTGAATTTTAACGTTTCGATAATACGTGTAACATTGTAACTGCTAATAAGCTGAGTATACATTAACTGCTATAGTGCTATAAAGACATAATATGACTTAATCGAAAATGACGTTAACGCGTGTGTACAGAACAAAACCAAAAAACTTTTGGAACAAAAACGGAAGGCGCTGTCCGAGTTGGAAGCCAAACGGCAGCAGAGGGACGAGGAGATGAAGCGTGAGGCACTTGAAGCCAGAAACAGGATCATTGAGAAAGCGTGCAAACTGAAATTCGAAGAGAGAGACGCAACGAAAACGTTCTATAGAGCTCTGCAGCATTCTGAAGTTATTATCCGATTATGATGATTGCCATAATTAATATTAATAAAACCAAACGTAGCATAGAACTAATTGTCTTGTGTGCTGGTGACTGACTACATTTTTCAGGTGTTCAAAGAGAGGGCAATACAATTAAAGTTTAACGAAGCTGAGAGGGAAAAGAAGATGCAAAAGGACCTCGAGACGGCTCAAGAACAAAACAAGGAAGCGGAATGGTATAGAAAACACAAAGTGGACGAAAAACAAAAAAACAACGAGCTAAAAAGATCTAAAGCTGAAATTTTATTAAAAGAGTAATGTAATTTTGTGGGGTATATTGACCGAGAGTCTCGTCATAAAATTATCAATATTTAAATAAATTACAGGCTTAAGGAACGTGAGGATAAGAGGAGAGACGAACAAACTGCATCGTGTGAGTCTGGTAAGGTGGAATTACAAAAAATAGCCGAAGAAATCGAGGAGGCTCGAGAAAAGGCCGCTGCCGAGGTGAGAGATTTATTAGTGCTATAATTCGACGATTCCTATATGAACAGTTTTTTATAACGATGATATTTTTTTACCGGTGTGCGGACAACATATTCTATAGGCACGGTTAGCAAAGGAAAAGCTGCAAAAGGATATAGAGGACAACCGCATAATGATAACCAGCGGAGACGACGTGCGCGAGACGGAGGAATGGGAAGAGGATATGGTCACTACCATCATGGCAGAGACAAAGAAGACATTAGCCAGAGCGCGGAGACTAAAAGAAATAGAAGTAATGTCTTCGGATTTAATAGGATTATCAATTAGGCATATACATAATATTATAGATTGGCGAATAACCATTATTGTTTCGTGACGGGTAGAGTTGTGGTTTTTTTTTTAATCTGCTATAACAGATCGTAAAAATGACAAGAATAAAACTAATCATATTAAAACTCTACGTTTTTTGAATAAAAAAATGCAGAAGGATCTACATATATTATTATATCCTCTTAGATACACCTTAATATTATATAAAACAAAATAACATGCACCTTCCTAGGGCTAGGGCCTAGGCTTCAATTAACTCATGCCTATGTCTTACGTTGTTCAGCATGACTGCGGTGCTTAATAAACCATGTTATTATGTAAACAATTATTATTATTCATTTTAAAGTTCGATTCTATTCTGTTTGGGCAGCTTATGGAGGTCAAACAATTGGCACTGGAGGAGATGAGGACGAAATCGGCGGCTTGGCCGACGAAGCAAAACGGGTGGGCAGAGTCTGACGTGCTGGACGCCGTAGAAGCGCAGGAAAAACGGTCAGAAAATGTTCTAGCAGCATTCGCTACAAGTGTGAAAAAGTCTGAAAAATAATCTCCTTCGTCTTTGTATTTGTGTTAAGATCCTCTGCCACACTGCGGTATTACAGTATACCTACTTTAAATTATATTGATTGATTTGGTAATTGGTAGGTATAGTATCGCCAGTTGTAGGTACCTACTGACGAGTGATTAACTATGTATATTTTACAATTTCCTGCAACATATATTATACCTGTCACAGTGTCACGTGTGTATTAAGCATTTTCGCATAAAAAGTGGTACGAAATGCAATCAGCAGTGTCAATGACCACTATATAACACTATAATAAACAGCATACACCACAATATAGCATCAATAACCATCTGCAATACGTATTATATATAGATTTAATAGATATTATAGATACATATCATTATATATATACAGATTTTAAAGGATTGTTGCCTGTAGGTATACCTCCCTGAAAAACAAATCTATTCACGTAATACACGTATATATATATATTTGGTGTGTTCGTTGTAATACCCTGTTTAAAATTAATATTTTGCAATATATTATGGGTTTCGATATTATTATTTTGGGATTGCAGCTATGTCATCAGTTTTTTGATTGCAGGTATCGTGAAGTGGAGCGCAAAAATAGAGAGCTGGCCAATAGGAGAATAGAACACGTAGAGATCGGCAAAAGGCTATGGGAAGAGGAGATCTGCCGGCGAAGGGAGCTATCGGCACAGGACCTTCGATCGGAGATGCACAGACGCGAACGTGAAAAAAGGTTGTTGACCGAATTTTCTGACTTACGTGTGCGAAAGCGAACCGAAAATGCCAATCAATTTCGGGAGCAGCTCGAAAAACAGTGTGTGAGTATAATATTTATATAGTCTTTACTTTTCTTTTTTTTTCTTAGCTTAACGGTTTTTGTAGCAGTTGTAGGACCTTAGTTCCGAACTGCCACAAGGAATCTTATCCTCTACTATATTTCCTGATTAATAATTGACGGTGGAAAGGTTAATAGTGATTATGTAATACCCAAAAATTCAATTTTACAGAAGAAATTAAAATATTAATAGTTTTATTAAAAATTATCCGAAGAAGGTAAAATTTGATTTGTAAATCGTTAAACACGTATTTTAATAAATAATTTATACAATTAAAAGTGAGGAATTATTTTTCAAATTAGTCATTATGCTATTGAAATTAAAGGAAGTTACGAGTTCAGTGGCGTCGGAGAAGGGGGGGCAGAGGGGGCAATTGACTCCTCAGATATAATTCATCCCACCCCCTACTACATTAAAATTAAAGAGTAGGTATACAATCATTTACGTTTCAAAATTGGCCTCATTTTCATGAATGTGCATAATAATATTATTACAACATAATACATAATAAACATGTCGAGTATTTTTTATTGATATATTGTTACTTTTGAATATAACTTCAGGTATAAAGTAAATATGTTTATGTTTTGTTTCAATTCATAATAAATGTATAAATAAAATGTATTTATATTAATTATATTATACTATAATTATATCAATACATTATACATTTATATACCTAGGTACCTAATTCTTATATTATAACATACAGTATACCTACTATACCCATATCAACATTAAAAGAATAAAATATATATTAAGAAAGGTTTTTTTACTATAAATCACAAATAAATATATAATAGTTTTTAGGGGTTTTATGTTTTGAACCCCCCCCCCCCATCATGAAAAATATTTCCTGCGCCACTGTAAGAGTTACAGTATTTTACATGCATCGGCTGCAATCGATATTTGAAATATTGTGGATTAAGTTATGAGCTTTTTAATGTTATGTTAATTGTACTTTACAAAACAACGGTGGGTAAATCGTAAGTGAGTTACATTATTTCATAGGTTGTTCTGGAAAAGTGACATCGCCACATCGGTGAAAATGAATGAAATGAGATAGAAATGCATATTTTGAATATGAAAGCTGTGAGATGATCGAGATGAATTTTGTTAAAAATCTAGTTGTTCTAAAACACAGAGATGAGTGTGTTGAATGAAATGAATTGATGAAATCTATGAGATTTTGCTAAAATCATATCAATAAATTTTTTAGATTCTCACATTGAAAAACTGTCCCGAGATTAGTGAAACTGAAATAACTAATAAGTATTAAGTAACAAAAATATTTTGGGTATACGATTATTATTTATTTTGTGTTACTATAAAAATATAATGGCATTGATGTTTGATTTTAAAAGACGTCGAAGGGTATATCAGCATTTAAGGTACTTAAGTTGTAACTTGTAGCTAAATATGTCCTAGACATATATTTTTATGTTATTCTATTAACAATGAAATATCTACCAATTTATTTTAGGGCTGCTGAAAATCCTTTTTTACTAAGCAAATTTGAATTAAAAAACAGTTTAGATTAAGTAGTCTATGTTAAGTATATTATTAATATAATTCGACCATATATGAGTACTTCAAACAGAAAATCAAGTATTTCAATTGAAAGGAAAGTAAGTGAAAAAAAGAGTGCTAGGACGATGTTATAACAAAAATAGTTAATTTTCGCCATAATCCGCTATTATTACCATAATGTTCATAAGCGTGCATAGTATATTCATACTCGTATATAATATATAAGTATTAAGTACCTACATAACACATTGAGAATATTTTTTCTTTAATTTATTTACTTATTGTGAAGTCCATGAGAAATGTTGACTCGTAAGATGAAACGAGTTTTATCAAATGTAATTTGATGAGATTGTTGAAATTCGTGAAACCAAAATTGATTTACACAACAATCACTTGGAAATTAATTAAATTCAAATAATGAGATGAATCTAATGAGATCGTTTCAATTTTCCAGAACAAGCCCCCCCCTGACCTATTAATAATTATATTTAATCGATTTTGTTGCTGTTGTGGGTTGGGTACAGTATTCTTAAGTAAAATTAGCTTGGATTTAGCATAGAATTTGGAGCTTACACTTTACTTGGAAAAAATGTGTATTTTCGTGTTTTATCATAGAGAAGAGTCTTCTGAAGACAATAAAACCTCGATTTTAATCAAATTGAGGGTTACATCACTTGGCCTTTCCACTATTGTATTATGCTTGTTCACCTGTTGTGATGTTGTGATTCCATATCCCTCTGTCGTTGACCAAGTATCATATTTAACATATTATTATAATATGGTATGTTACTATATGTCTATACGAAAGCTTTAAAAATATTGTACCTATTATTTTTTTGTCAAGTACCTACTATACCTACTTAAGTATCTATATTTTATTATTTTCTAATAATCTATTATTTGTATATGTTATAACTGTTTATTATAATTTACAACTCTGTCAGTCTCTTCTGAATTTCTCAAGTCTCAAAAGGTTAAAGTTGGTGTACCTTCCTCTAGCAAACCAGTCAACCTCAATTATTAGGTAATTTCACCAAAAAAATGTTGTCTTGCTATAACATATTATTTTTATATTGTAGACATAGGTAACTTATATCACATTATCATATCAGTCAAATACATACTAATATTAATTAACACATGTAGGTAACTAATAAGTATTAAAATATTAAATGGTTCTAGACACTAGTAGCAGGTATGTTGTCTATATAATGACAAGTTAGTGTTATTAAATATTTATTATTGAAAGGTTATTATTTCATTTTTTCTGAGGTAGATGGTAGATCACACTTTCACACATAATATTGGAAGTAGTGTTTTAAATTAAATTGAGCATATTTTTTTGTTTACTAATATTAAAGAATATGACAATTATATCTTAAATTTGTTATTTTGGAGTAGAACGATAAAAGGATTGCATTATTGGCTAATAGACAGGCTGATATAGATCGCCACGCAGTATTTGAACGCCAGTGGCAAAGAGAAGATGAAGAATTCATTGCATATACCAAAAATGCGATTGAGAAGAAGATATTAGTTGGAAATCCAGTAGTGCCATTACTTAAAACAGTGAAAGTCAGTATTATTTGATATTTAGTCACAATAAGAAATGTTAAAAAAAAATATGTATTCAATTTTTAGGATTACCTCGAAAAGAACAATTTATGCATAAATGACAATAAGGTATCAAAAAAAATTCCAAAAGGTCCAATCTATACATCAAGAATAATACGCCATATTTAGTAATAATTTAAAAAAAATATGTAATTAAACATGCCAATTGTAAAAATATACATAAAAAAATTAAATAGAAGGCACATTTTTCAAGTCTTTTCTTTTAAAAATATTATTAACTAGTTATTAAAAATATCACAATAAAGATATATGTATGATTAGTTACACGTAAAAATCCTATACTAAGTACTTAAAAATGATCAATGTATAAAAAAATTTGTACCTCAAAAAAACTATAATAAAATTATATGTATACATATAAATCTACTAATTATAATGGCACCAGATGAGAAACATCATATAACTTAACACTTAATCCATGGCATTTTTTTTGGTAAATTATAATGTGTTAAATCAAGTTGAGACTGTGTGAGATCAATTTTGGGTTGTATGTGTTTCACAGCTATCAGTCTCATACGATGGATTGCTATTAGACTAATAGCTACAATTCTAGAAAAAGTAACTGAATTAATAAACCTTCAATAAATACAAAAAAAAAATGTTTCTGTATTCACTTAAACTTAGACATCTTTCTCTTGGCACATATTCTTTGCATCATTGTTTTGACAATACTATTATCTAATTCAGGCCATTCTTGAATGATAAATCTGAGCAACTTGTCTTTGCCTCTGGCCAACTTTACTAGGTACATCTTTTGCCATACCAACGAATGGTAGAGAGCTTCTACTCGTGTAACGTGCTGATTACCAACTACAGGCCAATGGTTTTCAACCTACAGTTAATAAATATAGTTCATAGAATTATGTTTTTACATAATAAAACAAAATATAAAATAGCTACTACCTTTCTTTCCAATAATTTTCTATTTAAATCTTGATTACAACATTTTAATTCCATAACTTCATTTTGTAGTTTATCCTAATAAAATAAAAATAAATCAAAATTATACAATATAATATATACTCATTATTCATAAATGTGTTACTCTTGTATTGCAAAGTTCTATGTTTTCCTGGACAATATTTTTTAAATTTTGACTTGTTAACATAGTCTTTATGTCCTCTAGATGAGCTCTACACTTATTGTACTTTTCTCTTGTCTCTGTCAATTTTCTAGTTAGTGACACATTTTCAGTTTCCAAATTGAGCTATATTATTTAAAAGTAACATGTACGTTAATAAATAATTAAATATGTCAGATGTATAAAATAGATTGTTACAATTAATTTTGAGTGTTTTAGCTCTAAGTCTGCAGGTATAGTTATGTCCTGAATATCAATCTTTAATCTGTTTTTATAATGATCACTTAACGTAAGCTTGTTCTGCAACTCTGTAATTTTGTTTTGCAAATGACTGCATTCAGCATCCAGACTTTCAAACTAATAAATAAATAAAAATTTGTTGCTAAATAATAAAATTTAATCAAATTTAAGTGTTAATGTTACTTTATGTTTTATTTCACAATTCTCATTTAGCAACTCATTATATTTTTTCTTCCATTCAGTTGCAGTTTTTTCCGCACCATCCAATTGTAATACCAAGTTATCCTAAAATCATAAATTGTCTTCAACATCATGTAATAATTAACTCAAGCTTCTTAACTAATAACTTATAATGAATACAGCACATCTCATAGTGATTACACTCGGAAACCACAGCCTGCCAACCTTATATACTTACATTTACCTACCGCCATTACATGCCTAATCTAAACTACTAAAAAATTCATAAATTTACTCTGTCTCAAATAAGAATAACCTCAGGCGGTAGGATATTGGGCATGACTAGCCGCCAAATACAGCGCTCAGATGAAAAGCAGTTAGATATGAAAGCACACAACAACAGATTTGCCTAGGCGTGTGGTTCTGACTTAACCGGAAGAAAATCGGTTACTAAATGAGGTTACTCTAACTTGAGATAGTAAAGTAGGTATACATATTTGAATACTTATACTATTCAAAATAAGTCATTTTTAGTTTTAATATTATACATGAATTCGTTGTATCAAATATTTAAGAAAAAAAAATTAAGTAAATCACAAAATTGAAAATATTATAATCTATAAAAGCTGTAGCTCCCTAAATCAGTTAAAATTTTTAAAATTTATATCTTATAAATATTAATAATTAGAATATTATATTATATTGAGAGTAACAAACTTCTCATTAGTTTCTCTGTATACCATTTATTATATATAATACATTTAAGGCAGATTTTAATATATAGTGCATTTCATTACAACTGTGACTCGATGCTAATGCGCCTTGTGGTGTTTTTTCTAAAACTAGTGCGGCAAATTTAAAATTGATAACAAATATTTTACACATTTTTTGATCCTAGTTTGAAAACCCCTAGTTTGAGACGAACGGCCACAAAGTGCGTTAGAGTTGAGTTGCAGTTGTAATGGAACGCTCTATAGTTTAATCATAGCAGAATTAAGGTGATAAAATAGGAGTAAAATATAACTATTATGATTCAGATTAATAATTTGCTCGAAAAAAGGAAATAAATACATTTTAAATTAAGATAGGTTAAGTTTATTAAGAGTAGGAAATTTGAATTCACAACCTTAAGTAAAACAATACTTACATTCTTTTCAGAAATCAATTGTATACCTTCAGTATTTTTTTCTTTTTTAATTACATAGTTCTTCATAATTTCTAAATCATTTACTATTTCTTGATACTTCTGTTTACTCTCCTTAAGTTCTTTTTTTAAGTCTAATAGCTATAAATATTAAAATGATTTTCATAAATAAATATATTAAAGTAAATAACGTAAATTCTATTTTATTACCTTTAGCTCTAATGACCGTTTATCTTTATCACTTCTTACTTGTTGATCTTTCATTGCAACTACTGCATTATCCAGTTGATGTTTAAATGCCTCAATCATTTGATTTTTACTTTCTAGTTGTTCCTAAATATTTTTGACAAAACATACATTTTACTAGTAACAAAATCTTTTTAAATATTAGTTTATAATTTTTATAAATACCAATAAAAGTGAAATTTCATTTTTATTAGTTTCAAGCTCAGCAATTTTTTTATAGGCTTCAAATAAGTGTTGGTCAGTTTCTTCTTTAATGTTTAAAATTCTAGTCAATTCTTTATCTAACATTTCATTTGTATCCAATACTTTTACTAAATCATTTTCCAATTTCTAAAGAGAAAATTATGTATAATAATTAATAAATATTATACATTATGTTTAGGTAAACTTATAGTTATAATACAATTTACAACCTATCAATAATAGGTAATCGGAAAAAAAATCCCCAGCTACAATATTACTGACAATCTCATGCAAATGGTTGAACAAATATATTTTGAACGTTAATTAGTATCTATAATTAATATTTAATGACAAATACGTATATTATATTCTATTATAATATAATATATTATATTATATTGTTAAAAAAATTATAAAAATATTTATAATGATCGATACGCCAATTAATAATACAGTTAAAAACATAGTATACAAAAATATGATACAAAATATAGGTACCTATATATTTTATGTAGGTATAATTCTGTAAAAATTGAATTCCCGAAATAAAATATTGCTTTTTCTGTGACATTTTGACGATAAGCGGTTTAGTATGTACCTTTGATAATATATAATATAAGGTAAAGTTAGTTATTTAATTTGAATTACATATAATATATTATCGTAATTTAAAACAAAATATTATTTATAATATATAATTTTTTTAACAATATAATATAATATAATATACGTATTTGTAATTAAATATTAATTATAGATACTAATTAACGTTTAAAAAATATTTGTTCAACCATTTGCAAGAGGTTGTGAGTAATATTGTAGTCTGGGGATTTTTTTTCCTGGGGTCGGGGATTTTTTTTCCGGCGTTATTCGTCGGGGGATTTTTTTTCCGGGGATCTTTTTTCCGGGATTCCAATAATATTACCTCGACTAAATTATCATTTGTTTGATGCAGTTCTTTGGCTTTGAAGATTTCAATCTTGTTCTCTAATTCTTTAATATGATTTTCTAATTTTGCCAAAGTTAATTCCAGCTTGGTATTTGTGTCCAATTCAACTTGTATTCTATGTCTACAAAAAAAAATTATAAGATAACTAATTGTTGTTGTATACTATTAAATGTAATACGTCTTACATATAATCAGCAATTTTAACTTCTTGACATTTTTTAATAGTATTTAAATGCTCAATTTCAGCATCTTTGTTTTCAATAGTTATTTGGTATCCACAATTTTTTTTCCGTTCATTTTCAAGATCAATTTCTAGAGCTTTTATGTTATCTTTAGGCTAAATTTAATTAAAAATAAACATTATTATTAATTTTTTTTATTTGGCACTATATGAAAAGCCGTGACTAAAAAGAATATTGGGGTGGGGGGTCTCCAATTTTTTCTAAGATACTGGTTACTTATCATTTATATGTTCGAAATATAATAACACGTGTTCTATCAGGGGCGGATCGATCTGAAGCTTGTTTAAGTTAGGGGTGTGAAGGAATATTTATGAGTGATATATAAAGTACACTTAAGACTTGACTGTATTTAAATCGTTGAAAAGCCCAATTACCTCCAAATCGCTTCCCCATAAATCTACCCCTGTTGTGACCACACCAAATAAGATTCATTATAAAAAAAAATAGTGGTTTCTTGTGCGATGGGTCGTATGACAAAATGAGATTAATGCGAGTAGATCAGGAGTGCCAACAGGAGGGAATAAATAAAAAGAAGTATATAGTAGTCATGAGGTATGGGAACCCGCTCATATATACAAATAAAAGAAAGTTATAAACCTTACTTGGTTACTCATGTTAGATGTAAAGTTTTCTGAACCAAAATCTGAAAATGTACATGTCATTTCCACTGAAATCAGATATTAATAAATATTAAATATTTCTACATAACTTAGGACATGATAGCACAAAAAATATGATTGGCTTACATTCCTTATTCTCTTGTATACCAGACATCAATTGTTGTTGTTCCGAAGCATGACTAGTTAATTCCTCAATGGTTTTCAATAATTCCATATTAATTTG